ACTACGACTACGACTACGACTACGACTACGACTACGACTACGACTACGACTACGACTACGACTACGACTACGACTACGACTACGACTACTACAACAACAACAACTACTGCGTTTGTTTGTCTACAGAAAAAGGCAAAAGTACCGAACAACTCAACAGTCGCCACAATACACACCTTCTTTGTTTCATGTTGTTTCTCAATCTCCAAGCTTGCTTTCCTTCACACCATCACAGCACCCAAAAAAGTGGCAACAGCATTTGTTGTGATCGATGGCATGGGACTTGATTGCAAAAGGAGCCTTGTTGTACCCACTTTGGTTCAGCTCAGAACCAATTTGATTGAGGCACCCGTGACACGGAAGAATGGATCCAGCCCTGCTGATGATTTCAGGGCTGGATTTTCGCCAAAAAGGAGGATCATGGAAGAATTCGTCGCGAACCACTGGGGCCATGAAATCAGCAGTTGCTGATCAGCTTTCTCATGGAAGAACCCATCGGGCCATGTCGACTGAGTCTCTCCAGACTGAGTCGACTCGGCGCGCACCGTCGGACGTCGCACTGCCCTTCGTCTTTCAGGAACCCTCCAGTGGAGGAACTCCCAGCGAGTACGGATCAGCGCGGATGCCGAGCCTGTGGTGGATTGAACATGGGTGTGCAATATCCCTGGAAGTCCAAAACCATTAAAAAAAGGGCTGATCTGGTTTTGTCGTGTAAAATCCTTGTAGTAAAATGGTTGTCCGGTAAAGGCTACAGTATTTAAAAAATGGTGGTTCGACTTATTCTAGGGACAATGTGTGCCTTAAGAGAGGGAGACCATCCCGGTTCCGACCCAGCTGGAAGGTGGAAGAAGGAAACGGCAACGTTCCGACCCGTCTACCCAGCCAGGGATCGGGGATCTCCCTGAGAATACACACTTAAATGAATGGTCATACATGGTCCATACAACTTCCAACCCAAAGAGGATCATATGTCGGGCCTTGGACCCCCAGCTTCTTTGAGGCCAACACGAGACACAGCCGTTGGTTGTGGGGGATCGAAAGCCCATACCTATTCCAAGATATACCCATTTGGGATGAATCATCATGGATGAATCATCGTCTAGTCCCTCGGTCACTCCTTTTCTTTGTCCATCTCCATGCCGACCAGAAGGCTTCAAGACACTTGGAGCCCCGCTACCGCTCACATCGTCCTAACTCACGCGTAGGCTTGCAGCCCGTTTCGAAACTCCGCTGAGTGGCTGGCCTTGAACGTTTGAAACTAGTGACTAGTTATGACTCAATTATCGAGTTTGGCAGTTTCAGACTACAGAACACCATATAGACGCATGTTTTTTTTCCAGCTTACACAGCTTACACCAACTAAGGAGGATGCCCCACTGGTCTTCGTCCTCTTCTTCTTCTTCTTCTTCCTCTTCCCATTTAACAAACAAACAAACAAACAAACACACACACAAACATCACAACCCCCAAAACTTGACACCAGTCACCTGGTGTGTGCTTTGTGCTTTTTCATTTCACCACTCCTCAAAAAGACATGAACCCACCAACACCGCTTCGCATTTCGTTTGCTTCCGCGTCTTCGCTCGTCTGCTTGGTCTCGCTCTCTCCTCGTCTTCGTCGAGACGAAGGTCGAGCTGGGCTTTGGAGGTGGGAGCTCATGCCGCCTATGGCGCCATGCAGCTTCCCCTCCGCACCTTCCAGGCGGTCTACGCCCGGGGACGGGGCGGTAGACCGCCCGGTCTTCGGGGCGACCGGACGGGACGGGACGGATGGGAGCGTCTCGTGCACGAGCAGAAAACGGAGCGGTCTTCGGCCTTTCGTCTAAGGAACTGCAAGTTGGAAGTTGGAAGCCGTGTGCAAGGGAGTTACAGTGACTTTACAAACCTCCTGTTCATGTTTTAGTGGTGGGTTGGTCATATGAATGGTTTCATTTTAGCCGCTCAGTTGATTGGATGAATTCAGGCAGAGCTTGTGGAGTTGCCCCACTGGTACAATGTACCTCGGCGGGCAGAATTCAACATCAGGCACAATCTGATAAATCAAACAGGTCAACTAAGCAACTTGAGACTTTCTGGGCAAGCAAGTGGATGAGGGGGTCATGTGTTGGAGCTGTGGTGGCATAATTCTTTTTTGCTGTAATGCTTGCCGTCTTTGTCTGAGGGTCATTGGGGCATGGTGAGTTCACGTGTGAAGCAGTGATTTCGGTTGTTCTATGCTGCTGGGCACTTGCTGGGGCCGTTAGGGGTTCAGTCTGATTTTGGGCCGTGTTTTTGCGTGACAAACTCTGTGCGGCACATTCCTCCTCGATCTCATCTTCAAACAAAACCGGCCGGGCATCTCAGGGTGGGGGTCGAGGAAAGCAGAGGCTGCGCCAGGCGAAGTAGAGGTCAATCAGGCTGGTCCAACACCATCTCCTCACGTCAGTTGCGATGAATGTCTCGAAGACATTGACATTGACGATGATTGGTCTCTGGATGTATGGAGTTTGGAGATGTTTGGAGCCAAAGCCTTTGTCTCAAGCCAAGAGAAGAGCTGTTAGTGTCACATAGTGTCACAAACCTTGACAGCCATGGACCACGGACCCACCTTCGCTCCCCACGACCGGTCGAGCTTCCCCTTCGTACGTTCGAATTCTCGTTGCTCGCGGTGCTGGGGCACAGGAACACTGACGGAGTGGTCACCTTGCGACTGTGAAGGTAAAGGATGTGCTGACTGCGCTCGCGGTGGGGGCCAGTGCCCCAAGTGCGGTGGAAGTGGCAGGACCGACTCAGCCAGGCGTAATTTGAAGGATGTGACACTATGCTCCACAGATAGACTGTGATCAAGGACTCTTTGTCAGGAATGCACAGCCGAACAAATACAGACTGTACAGGGCAAGATGCTGAGACATGGTGATTAGTGATTAGCGATTCGTTTTGATGTCGTCATGCACCACAAAGTGTGCCATGGAATGATTGTTTCAATTAGCTTTGCCAACAGGGCTAACCAAGGCAAAACTGCCAATTTTGATGACCGGCTGATGACCGGCTGCACCAAACAGGGTGCAATGTCTAGGTGAACTGAGTTCTTTTCGCCTACAGGGCTAGCGTAGGATATCGTAGGATCGCGTAGGAACGTGTAGGATCGCGTAGGAACGTGTAGGATCGCGTAGGCGCAAGCGCAACGATGACCGCAGCACCGCAGTTGTGCCACAGGTGGTCATTGTTTGGCAGCATTGCGAGTTTGAAGACCAACAAAAAGGCCTCTTGCTACGGCTGGTCAATGCTGGTTGTGCAGTAATTAGGCAGAGCTCAACCGTTGTTTTCAGTTGGTTTCGGGCTCATCAGCACGGACTTTTCAGATGAACCATCACGACACGAGCGAAACTGAGAGTGAAAGACGAGCGAACCAGGCACCCCGTCCTGCGTTGCCGCATTGCCTGAGGTTTGAAAGACATCGAGGACATTCTCAACTTGATCGAGCGACCCACACTCGTTTCGATTGGTTTCACCAAACAACTTGTCACTTCCTGCACTCTTGTCAGCGGACTGATGGGGACCTCACAGGTTCTCACAGCACGCACCAATGGTTTGAAAAGGACAAGCTTCTTGGATTCTTGGACCTCCATGGACCTCCACTTCAACATCCATAAGTATCACATACTGTCTTGGAAAAAGGGGAAAAATTCCTAACGAGTCGGCGACCACCGAGAGCACGAAGCCGACGAAGCCGTTTTGCCACCATCACATCGGCTTCGTGGCAACATCCTGAAGTACTCAAGGACACCCTGCGGCCGATACTTGATTGTGATAGACTGAATGAGCAAGACATTGGTGAGAATCTGGTTGACCACCCAGAGTTCTCCAAGAAATGGAGAGAGAGAGAGGGAAGTGAGTAGTTGGATCCTTTCTGTTTGCACTTCAAGCATCTTCAAGTAACTGCAGAAGTGACTTCCGTGACCCGCGATTTGTTGTTTTCGTCTTTTCCTCGAATGGCTCCGTCATCGTCTCAGGCGACCACACGGCCAGTGCTCTTGAGCTTCAGCTCCTTTTCACCAGTGCCGCAGGGTTCTCCCAGCTTCGACGGCGCGTTTTCGTCAACTCCCAGCTTCGCACCCCGGTGTTGGTCAAAGAAAGGCCTGGAGGGGGAGGAGCGAGTGAGGAGCCTGGAGCGAAGGAGCGAGTTTTTAGGGGGACGATTCTTCCACCCTTTTTTCCGGACCTTGGAAGTACCTGACGAAGTACGGAAAGCCATGGGGGAAGTACTGCGAGTTGAGTCCGAGTTGAGTAGACTCGCTGGAAACCAACCAACCACCTGAGGGCTGGCGGCTATGTGGTGCTCACAGCACCAGAAGGGCTCCTGCTGCCAGAGCAATGCGCACCTCGACGTCAGGTGATCGGACGGGATGGCGGTCTGGGCCGGTGGGACCCGTCATAGTGCGACCTTGGCGTCGTTGGACCTGTGGCGGCATCACAAGTGGTACGACATCATGGTGGTCCTGCAAGCTGAAGTCTTTCCGGGCTTTTGCATCATATAATATATATATATATATATTCATATACTGTATTAGGTCTTGAACTGCAGTCTATAGGTCTTTCTGGAAAGACCTTGAACTCGTGGAAGCTCCGACTTCCTCACCCGAAGCTCCTCCAGAAGCCTGTCTCCCAGGCAGCCACAGCGGGCCTTCCAGTGTTGCCGACACAACCCTTTCGATGCTTGGCTTCGTGCGTAGTCGATGGATCGAAAAGTCGGTTCGAACGGAAGCTGATGGAAAGGCTCTGGAACTGAAAGGAACAGCCCCAAAGCCCGTTGATTGGTTCTGAGGAGCCTTGGGCAACACGCCTCAGCTCACGACCAGCTGTTGCTTGACTGACATGTGGCGAAGCAGCGATACGCGGATGCGATACGCGGTGGAACGCGGTGGCGGTGGAACGCTGCGTCCGGATGGGTGGGCGACGTCAGTGTTGATTGGTGGCGCTTCAGGGCGCTTCTGACCAACGGTTCATGTGTGGGGCAGAAATCACATATACCAGGAGTCACAAAGGGGTGGTGTTTGGTCCCTAAGTGAGTGGATAATTGGCCCCCCTAACCTCCATTAAGCACCCCTTTGTGACTGCTGGTATATATGTATATAGATGTATGTCCATGATGTATGTATATATGTATATAGCAGGCTTCAGGCGTCGCAGGTTCGCGCTTGCCGTTCCTGGTCCTTCTTCCAGTTCAACCTCAAGTTCCGCATAAAGACAGGTGCCAGAAGTTGCGGATATTAGAGGTGAACTTGAGTGGAGACGTGAGAGGTTCGTGCACTGAAAGTGGAGTTTTCCACGAAACAAAGACTTAGTGCAGAGAATTCTGGCAATAACAGATACTAACAGTGAACGGTGCGGAGGTGAGCACCTTCATTCCGTTCATTCTCACTGCACGTCCTCAGGTGAGGTCGATGGGCAACATCTTCGCATTGCCCTGTTGGAAGGGTCGCTGCCTGCAGGGCACTTCGAGCTGTTGCTCGGGCAAAATAAGCAGAGACGTCAGAAGGCACCAAGCACGCGCCTTTAGATTTCTGGTTTGTACTGTATTACTGTATCTATCAATACCTGCTTTTGTTCACCTTCCTGTGGCGAGCAAGCTCCTTAGTCTTTTCGGAGGTTCTTGGTTTTCCTTACATTTCATCCTTTTCGGACAGCTTTGAGCAGTCAAGAGTAGGTTTCGATTGTCAGTAGAGACGAGCACACCGAGATGCTGAGGCGGTTCATCATCACTGAGGGAGTCAACTTTGCTGGAGGCCCATCTCCTGCAAGGGTGTAGGAGCCTTGTAGGAGCCCTGTTCAGAAGAGGAGTGCATCCTTCATCATCCCAGCATTCCCAACTCTCCCTGTCATGAAAAGGATTCATTGAACATGTTTGAACCCCTCCTTTCTTGCAGATATGAAATCAGAATTCAGAGTGAGTGTGTATAGCCGCAGTGATCAGTGAACCAGACGACGACGACGACGACTGGACGACGACGACGACGACGACGACGACGACGACGACGACGACGACGA